TAATATATATATATAGTAATATAATATAGTAATATAATTAACATATATAGTAAGTTAATATATAATTATATAATTAACATATAGAGTAATATATATAGTAATATAATTAACATATATATAGTATATTATTTAACATATATAGATCTTCTTCTAAATTGTTAACCTATGATCTTTAGGTTAAACGAATATAATATTCAATTGTAATAGTTGCTAATCTTATCAGTCACTGATAAAAAAAAGAAAAACTTAATATTAAAAAAGAATTCAAAAAAATTCCTATTTTTTTTTTGTTGTTATAATTGTAATACATTCAAATTTCTTCTTCTCTCTCTCTCTCATATTTTTTTTGAAACTAAATTTTCTCTTTAGAAAAGAATTTATGAAGTAACAGTCAGACTAATGGAATCCCAAAGAATCTCACAGTCTTTTCGTAGAAATATTTTTGTTATTTTTTGTACTTGTAGAAAAACTAATGACGATTTTTTCTATGACGCATCACATCTTTCAGTGATGTCAAACTACGTTATAATCATACTAATAGCAAAGATTATTATTATTACTATTATTATTCGTGTACACTTAATCAATGTTTGCATGTTTGATTAAAATTCGAGTTAAGGTATCATCCCATAGGTGTTAAACTATGTTCAAATTGTAAACCACGTGAAAAATCGTAAGATTTATTTGAAGATAAGAAGAAAAAGAAGAAGATAAACAAAATCAAATAAAAAAAAAATAAAAAAAAATAAAATACAGATGATCATAGTAAGATGGTATAAGATCGAGACAACGTTCTTCAATGGCGATCGCGTAGCATGCGAAGAATCCGGCCACTCGAAGTGACGACGATAAATAACGCGATTGCTATATTTAGTTTTTCTTTGTATGAGAGAGACGAAGATAGAAAGATATTTCATACACACGTATACAAATGCATATATATATATATATATATGTGTGTAATATTTGTGTGTGTGTTTCTTCTTCTTCTTTCAAGTATTTGTCGTAGTAGTCGTTATGGTCGTGACAAGTCAGCTGACGATAAAGGCAACGATGATGATAATAAGCTCGTTTCGTTGGTATCTACATTAATACTTGTGTATACGTATCATCACACACACATATACATATATATATATATAGTTTGCGTGAGATGGTTTGTGAATACAGCCGAAGGCAAACTCCAATGGATGGATGATTCAAACCAATGACGTCTGCATCCAAGTGATTCGTGCTATTTGACTAATTTCTTGTTCTTATCCATGAAAGTTTAAAAAAATATCAAAAACATATTACTTAAATATGTAAACGAGATTTGATTTGGTTTGGTTTTTATATAGAAATGAATAATGTTGATTTTAATACTTATTTAATGAAGATTTCTTTTGAAGTTTTATCTATAAGTCTGTGTCCCAGTGAATCTACTTCAAGTGATATATTAAAACAATAAAATGTAATTAAATTCGAAAATAGTTTCGAAATATCAATTTGAAGATAAGAATCATTTGACAATATAGAAAAATCACATAAAATAAATTTGATGTAAAAGTTCATTTGTAGATAAACGATAAAGAGACTTTTTTTAAAAATCATTTTCTAAATAGAATTAAAAAATATGGTGTGCTCATACATGTACACATTCACATATATACAAGGTAATATTTCACAATAGTTGGCACGAAGAGATAATAGATGAAGAAACTGAGCATAGTTAGTAGTTACCGGTGTGTTATATCTGATCACTCTTCCGATACGATTAACAACGAAGAGGAGCATGACCATGCAAGGATCCGTTTACCGTAAAAAGCCAATTTTCGCGAGAACGGTGAACACCGTTCGTTTGTTACAGAAGAAATAGTTATTTCATTCGTAGATCTTTCGGTGGTATTAATTGTTAAGAATTTAACGAGGCGTTTATGTTGCTATCTGAAAATAAGAATATTTATTTACATGGTTGATCATCGTCACCATCTCGTAAATAATTTCTTCAGATGGAACATGTTTCATTTCGAGGCTAATTGAGACATTGAATTCAATACTAATTAAGAAAGTTTAATATATTGTAATTAAAATAAAATGCGTATGGAGATAATCAATCGTTCAAATTCATTCTGATTCAACCTGGATTTAGTTGGTTTCTTTCTTTTCTTTTTTTCTTTTTTTCAAATTTTTCTATATAGAAAGTATTTAAGGATAATAAATCCTTCAAAGACAGGACTTGGACCAGTCCCATTTCTACTCAAAGTTTCACTTCTTACAATTGTTAGATTGGCAAAAGTAAGTCCTGGCACGTTTGTAAAGGATCAAAAAAAGGAAATTGGAAACAAGCTAGAGAGAGAGAGAGAGAGAGAGAGAGAGTCTTCTTAACTGAAAGTCAAAGTCCTGGGTAAGATGTTAGAGGGTTGGGTTTCTAAGATAGGTCTACGACCTCCAAAGTAAGATTCCAAACGATTTGATCGTCTGGAGGGTATCCCGACGGATTTTCGTCGTAGTCGTCCAACGGGGAAAGAGCCTTAAGCGTTCCTCTTCTGGGTGGGTACGTTGAACTTACCGTCGCATTCTGTATTGATTTCGGTCGCGGAGAGGCAGACGTTACCTACGGCACGTATTCGCGAACGCCACGGCACGGCACGCCCATATCGAGAAGTGAATTTATTTTTTTTTTATCTAATGATCAAAATCTAATAACGATTTTGTTGATAATATTGTAAACGTGAAAAATCTGTCCTTTTTGATACAAAAAAAAAACAAACAAAATGAAACTGATCGTTATGCCAACGTTGGTTCGCACGAGTATAAAATGGGGGCCTTACGCAAGGCCCCGAAGACCTTGAACGGGACCTTATTTGGTGGACAAGGTCGAGGCTACGCGGGCCATTGGGTTTTCAGGTCGAACGCGACCAACTTCTCCGTTGTCTTTGGTTTCCTTTCGGTATTCCAATGTACACGAGGTATACAACACGCATTCCTGTTGGTTACGATCTACTTGCAATAATACAATCAAGATTCACATGTTAAGACAGACACACGAGTTAACAGAAATTTCTACTCTCTTCTTTTCTACAATGTTTTTTTTTCAATCCAGTAGTAGAGCTTTCTAGAATTATTAGTAAAATATTGGACTTTGATATTTGTAGTCTGTGTGAAAGAGAGAATGATATTATTCGTTACGATTCTATTGAGTGAGATATGTCCAATATGGAGAGACAGGTTAAATTAATGAACCAAATGAAGTCTAGCAGTAGTTGTTTCTATCTTCTTCCGTTTTATTATTCCAGACTCCATGTTGCTTTCTCTCTGTCTCTCTTGACCATCCATCGGTCGATATTCAACGGCATTGATCGTCGAGGGCTCGAAACACGAGGTGGCGAGGAGAGCCCTTCGCGATCTGACGTTTCTCCTTCGCCACGTGGGTTTCTCGTTCACCGACTCGGCTATCTTCGTTGTCGTCCTCGTCCTCGTCATCGTCGTAGTCGTAGTCGTCGTCGTCGTCGTCGGGGCGCAGACTGCACGGATACCCGGCATCGTATCGATTTTCAAGGAGACACTGCACCCGCGAACGCACCGACTCACCAACCTCATAGAAAGAGAAAATGAATACGAGAAAGGGATAAGAAGAGAGAGAGAGAGAGAAAGAGAGAGTTCATACTAACACATATACGAAGGGCAAATACTTTTATGCACTCTTGCTTGTAGCCAAGCCCTACGTGACGTGGCAATAGTCCAGTGCACCCTTGTCCGCGCCCTTGAATCTATTTTTGGCCGATCTTCCGTACAAGAAATACATGAAAGGGAGACATTTACTCGCTGGCCAGGTTCCTAGTTCTATGAGGAAGTCATTCTTTTTATGAATAATTAATTATTCTTCCTTTGGTTTCTTTCTTTACATTTTACCATGATAATAATAATAATATGTATAATTATTTATGAATAAAATTAATTATAATTAAAATCATATGTAAGTCAATCTGACGACTCTAAACAGGGGAGAGGGGAGCCATCTTGAATTAATTGTTATTTGACTAGCCTTGTAATTAAATTCGATACAACTCGAATTAAAATTAATTACATAATTATTTATTGTACAGAATGTAAGAGGGTTGTTTTATATATATTTATGTCTAAAAAAAAAATATCTTCTTTATCATTGGTCGATGCTGCAGTACTGCTGACGAAGAGGGTTCGTCCGTTTCTTTTCCGGGAACATTATATGCACGTCGATATAATCCTGTTAGTTCGAATTGCTTGGCTGCACAAGCGAACTCGATTGGATAGGACATCGAACGTCAAAAAATCATCTGTCGTTTTTTTATTCGATAAAGATTTTTTTTTTTTTTGTTTTTTTTTTACTTATTATATGATTCTTTTTTTTATAATCACAAATGTTATGAGAAGAAACACATTATTAAACATTGTCATTTCTACATATCACTTTACTCATATTTCTTCTTAAATGTGCGTATTTTATTTCAATTAAAATGCAATCAAAATTATTCGAATCGTTGAGCAACATTTTATCCAGGTCATTTGTGTATTATATTGTTTGTTTTATACATGACAATACATACTTTAATTGAATTAATCATCTTTAACGGTAAATAATAAATATTGTTTTCTTGTTCATTTGTGATTATATACTTATCAGTAAAGATTATAAATCAGATATGATTCAATGAATCTCCAAGCCTTAAATGGAAATTCGTATTACGTGTTATTTTCAACAACATTTTATCTAACAATATTACAAAAATATAAATAGACAATCAAATGTTGTAATAATTCTCATAAATATGATTAAAAGAAACAAAAGATGTGAAGATCTAAAAAAAAATAAAAAATAAATAAATAACAACGTTGACAAAAAAACTGTTTTCCTATTTTGTTAAATTGTTAACAAATAACCTTGCATTTTAGGAATTATTTTTAATCGTTTCTCCTACTGATAAAAGTTTATGAGTCTCTTTTGTAGATAACATAAATAAATACTTAAATTATTACTCTTTTTTTTTTTTTTTGTTCTCCCTTGCACTCAAGCCTATAATATATTTAAATGGTAAAATGCGATTAAAATACGTCAAGAACACTCTCACATTAAAGAGAAAGATACTAATATCTATATACATACATGGATATTTGACTTATACATTATGAAATGAATAAGTTCGAGGTGTTCTCTGTCATGGAGCATTGCTAATCGTGTGAACAACATTTTGAAGTCAAAGGAAAGCGCAGTCTCACGAAAACTTCTGACTATTTCTCATGACTCACCCTGTACCTACCATTGGGAGAGTACTCTCCTTTCGTACCTACAAATATATGTGCATATGTAAACGTTGTATGTATGCATGCATGCATACTTGTATATATATATATATATATATATATATATATATATATAGGTGCGTGCATATGATGAGTGCGTTCATATATATATGTATATTAGTGCATATGATCGTATGTCGTATGCAGCTCCGTTACGAGATATATACACGTAAGTATGTTACGCACGATAATATGCACACATATTCTCTTTTCTACTTACACATTCTTAGAACGGTTAGTCAGTCAGGCGGGGAACCCTTACGTACTAGTGTGTACGCATCCAGAAGGCATTATACTCCCCGTATCGTATAGTTTGAAGCGGCATTTGGAGAATCTAGCCGGCAGCCGGTTGAGCGACCAATCAGCGAGCCGCTTTCGTTTTATGCCCATATATGGCAAGAGCTGTGAATCCGTAAGGTGGGGGAACCGCCGGCTGGACGAGTCCATTCCAATCTCCGAAAGGGGTGGGAGGGGGGTCTCGCATGAGATGAACATCATTTTCTATTGAAAAAAAAAATGATAATACGTGTTACAACCGATGATACAGGATTAATAATTAATCTAAATATTATCATGCTTATTATGTATATGTTCATATTGTCTTTGAATTTGAAAAATAAAAATAAAAAAAAAACATGCTTATATTATTCGATCGGTCTGAAGTATATCGCATAGTCTCGTGGTATACCGACCACACCTACGGGCGAGTCCACAGGACGCGGTAGGAGCCACGATCTCGCTCACAGTCCTCGCAACTCGCGACCCCTCGAGTCTCATTCGTACTTCGTGCCTGAAAGTAGTATCCTTGTGGTGGCCCTTCGTCGATCAACGGACGTGTACTCTCTCGACCAGTTCGACGCCTCTTTGTGTTTCCTAACTCCTTTTCAAAGGTAAGTCCCTTATTGTATAACTTCCCTTTAAATCTTAAACTTAACGTATTTTTTATTGAAAAGATTATTAATAATTATCGTATGTGTCATATATATTCATTCTATATAATAAAATTTATCAGAAAAACGATACGAGAAGAGATAAGAAAAGAAGCCGGGTAGCGTGAACGACGAGAAAACGACGACGGGACCGGCCATGTTGGCAGGGCGTTGCTCTCTTTCGTTACAACTTCGAAATTTCTCGAAAGATTCTTTTATTTCGATTATTATCGTTAATCATTCTTATTTCAATTAATCGATATTTGATTTTACGCGGTTTTATTTAAAAAAAAAAAGAAATAAAAGAAATAAGATAATCCTTTCTTTTTCAATTGGATGAAAACTGGGCTTGGGCCATTTGAAGCGATCCGACAGGTTGCCGGCGTCAAGTGGTCGTTCGGTTCGGTTCGTTCGTTCGTACGTTCGTACGTTCATGTACGTTCATCGTTCCGTTCGTTCCCCTGACACAACACACGTTTAGCAGAACACGTAGTCGTCTTCTCTTTCCTCGCAGGTGGTCGCGGACCAAACGGTGCTTTATTAATAGCACTAGTTGTTCTATATACTCTTCTTCTCTTGTACGTTTCTCTCTCTCTCGCACGCTTATGCGAATACACGGCCACTAACCTATCTACGATTTATGTGCCACTAATGATCATCATCATCATCCTCTATATATCCTTTTCAATAGCTCAAGAGATAAAAAAAAAAAAAAAGAAAGAAAAATAAACACACCATAGGTTTCTTTTTTAAGTTCTCTTTTGTATTCTTTATCTTCTTTTTATCTACACATTTTTTTTCTAACCACTTTAAAACGATAATTCTCTTTCTAACATCTTGTTTTTTTTTTCCTTTTAAATTTCTACACGACAATAGTAGTGTTGACAACGTTAGTTTTTTAACAACTTTTTCTTTTTTTTTTCTTTTTTCAAATGTTTCCTTTTTTTTTTTTTTTTTTAAATATTTCTATTTATACCTAGGGATTAAAAGATTTCAAAATTCGACCATGAAATGTAAAATTAGAAAAGAGTTTATTGTTGGGACATAATCATGGTCGTACCCAGGGGCGTGATCCTCGACACTCTTTTATTCTTTTCTTTCCTTTCCTTTTCTTTTTTCTTTCTTTCTTTCTTTCCTTCCTTCCTTTCTCGCATTTCAAATTCTCAGCACGTCCGTTGACTCTTTCAATTGGTAATACTGAAATCAATTGAGAGTCTCTCTCTCCCTCTCTCTCTCTCTCTCTCTGACAAATTTAAAACGTCACCTTTTAAAAATAAAAATACTTTCATAATAATATTAATAATTTTTCAACAAATCATTATTTAACCAATAATTTTAAAAAGTCAAAGTGTTTGGTGATCTTCACCTGTGAAAAACAAAATTTCTCGTCACAAAATGTGTTTTAATCACCAAGCACGTAGGACAACAAATAAAAAATATAAATTGGAGTTTGCTCAATCTTCCTCCCCCCTCTCCTCCTCCCCTCCCCCCACCCATCTTTCACGATTGCACATAAAATTTAAGCGCAAATTAAAAAATAATTTTGTACTGTCATTTAACAGTTGCCTATTCCACCAACCACCACTACCCCCCACCCCCTCTCCATCCCCTGCTATTTAGAAATGCACAAATCCCTAGCATTTATGCACGCCACTAAAAACATGAAATCTTTCGGCATTTTGTTAACGTAACATTTCCAACTAGTTTCTCTTAATAACCAGTTAAATAAAATAAAAAATAAAAACAAAAGAATATCTCTCAGTTTCGTTTAAAATATTATTAAAAAATATCGTTTAATATTTCTTATTGTTATTGTTACAAAGTTAGACATGTTAATTCATTGCATTGCTTTGAAAATGATCTCACCTATTAGATTCTTACAACTTGAATATTAGAAAGCACGTGGCTGCTTCGTTTCTGATGTGTCCTTCATAGTAATACTTAAGAAAAAAATTCCACGAGATAACGGATAAATTATCATAATCCAACGATGAGTAATCGTCTTACAACGAAACAGAGATAAAGTTCCTAACGTAAAAAAAAAAAATAATAAAAGGAAGAAATAAACCATATATCAATTTGATAATAAAAATTGAAGTATATTAAAACTTTATTAACAAGGAATTATTTTTGAAAAATATATCGTTTATCTTTTTAAATCTAAAACGTCACAATATTGCATACGAAAAGATTACCCGTTACCGGAAATGACATTCCTTGTATCGCGTAAAAAAAAAAAGAAGAAAGAGAGAGAGAGAGAGAGAGAAATTCATTGATATTGGAATACACACACACATACAACGAACAGAAGAAGAAATTTCTTGCGAACATTCGTCGTAGGGAAGAAAGAAAGAAAGAAACGAATGGTGCAGGGAAGGAAAGGTTAGGTGAGGGGAGTAGGGAGGATTATGATAGAGAAGATGAGAGGCTCAGGAGGGGTTGGAAGGGTAGAGAGGGAAGAAGGTAGCACGTTGGCAAGAGAGAAGAGTTTGTGAGATGTTCGGTTCAGGCAATTCAAGCCCAATGCACAATTGTGTTGCTGGTGGTGGTGGTAGTGATGGTGGTGAGGGTTGTGAGAGACGCAAGGGAGTGGTGCAAGCAGTGGGGGCTGCAAATAGAAATAGTGGGGTGAACCCCACCGTGGCAGAGCAGTTCCATATATGGTAAAGAGAGCCAGGATTGGCGGAGGGTGTCCTGCCCTTATTGGTCGACGATCAGAATGGTAGAGAGGGTCTGCCAAGAGGACGACGCTCTTCGTATAATACACTGAGCGCTTTTCTGTCAAGCTACACTCTGTGTTTGGTGCTAGATCGGTCAACAGTGTCGGCGGTTGTTATTACGGACGAACAAGAAGACACTGAATTCTTCCTATTAACTTGTACATATAACAAGTCTCTCTAATATATCTTATATATTCTCTATTTTAACGCGTACCTTAGTAAGTTCTTTGATTTTTTACAACAAAGACTATTTAGTATAGCAAGTGGTGTTTTTCTCTTGTTTTTTTTTTTTTTTAATATATTAGAATTATTATTGCATTTTGTATAGTGGATATTAAGAAATTTTTAAGAAGAATCATAGATTTCAACCGTCTGAAAGGATTCCTCTCCTTTTCTTCTTCTTCTTCTTCTTCGTAGTGCTGCAACATTGATCGGTTTCCAAAGTGTTCGTTTATTTCTTTAAAATACATTTCCAATTTGTCAATAGAAAGTCAATAATCAAAAGTGGGGTGTGTTCAACATTCTATGTAAACGCGCGTGAGTCATATATTATTGGAAAGGTGTTTTGTGAGAGAATTTTTTGCTTCTCTTCTTCTTCTTCTTTTAAACCTCTTTTAAACGAAGCCGTTCTTTTTCTCTTGACGATTTTATTTCGTCATTGTTTGCCGCTCGATGGCGCTTGTGACGCCATGAATCTTCGATTTTCTATATCGATGACGATCACAATCTCGATCTTCGATCTTTGTTCCTTTCCAAGAATCGATTACAAAGAAAACTAGGATCCTTTATTATTCAAGGAACTTCGAAAGGAAATCAGATAGGAAGTTTATATACGAGGTGTGGAAAATACCGAGAAAACAACGTATTTTTTTACAGACGATTGGAAATTCTTTATCGGTTGGCGACCGTTTAGCCGGGGAAGGGCGGGGCAAGGGTGCGGTCATTCCATCGTGACGTGTACACTAGCCTGACTCGCCCATATCGGTTCTCCAATTTTTTTTTCCTTCCTACCTTTTAATATTCTTCTTGCCATTTAAAATTTTTAATTGATTTATTTCCTTTTCTTTTTTCTTGTTTTGTAGAAATCTTATACTACTGTTATTTGAACAATAGGGTACAGCAGGTATAATAATAATTGTTATCTTTTTTCCTTGACCGTATCGATTTCCTTTTCTTTTGTTACCTCACGTTTATCTTACAATGGTTTCAAAGGAAGGTGAGAACTTTCTTTTTGAAATCTCGTTTAGTACGGTGAGGATCCTTAGACGCCATCTTGAAATGTTCCCTTCTCAGGTAGCTCCGACGCCCCACGGGATAGTTCGTTTATTCTATATACAACTCGATGTTTAACTATAGAATTCTATAAAATAATAAATCTATATAGTTTTATATATTTTAAAAAATATCTAATTAATTGTAATAACTTATAATAATTAAATTAATGTCGACAAATACAGAAAGACTAATTATGATTGTTATTTTCAGGAAAATAATAATAAACAAACATGTGTGACGAAGAAGTTGCCGCACTCGTAGTTGACAATGGTTCCGGTATGTGCAAAGCTGGTTTTGCCGGAGACGATGCACCTCGTGCCGTCTTTCCATCCATTGTCGGCAGACCACGCCACCAGGGTGTCATGGTAGGCATGGGACAAAAAGATTCGTACGTTGGAGATGAAGCTCAATCTAAAAGAGGTATCCTTACTTTGAAATATCCGATTGAACACGGAATCGTTACCAATTGGGATGACATGGAAAAAATTTGGCACCACACTTTCTACAACGAACTTCGAGTAGCACCAGAGGAGCACCCAGTTCTCCTTACGGAAGCTCCATTGAATCCTAAAGCAAATCGCGAAAAGATGACGCAGATCATGTTCGAAACATTCAATACACCAGCTATGTACGTCGCTATTCAAGCTGTACTATCTTTGTATGCTTCCGGTCGTACCACCGGTATTGTATTGGATTCCGGTGACGGTGTATCTCACACCGTTCCGATTTACGAAGGATACGCATTACCACACGCTATCCTTCGTCTCGATTTGGCCGGTCGTGATCTTACCGACTACCTCATGAAAATCCTCACCGAGAGAGGATACTCATTCACCACCACGGCCGAACGTGAAATTGTACGTGACATCAAGGAAAAACTTTGCTACGTCGCATTGGACTTCGAACAAGAAATGGCTACTGCAGCATCATCATCTAGCTTGGAAAAGAGCTATGAACTTCCCGATGGTCAGGTTATCACCATCGGCAACGAAAGATTCCGTTGTCCCGAGGCATTATTCCAACCATCGTTCTTGGGTATGGAAGCTTGCGGAATCCATGAGACAACTTACAATTCAATCATGAAGTGCGATGTCGATATTCGTAAGGACCTCTATGCTAACACCGTTCTCTCCGGTGGTACCACCATGTACCCAGGCATCGCTGATAGAATGCAGAAGGAGATCACTGCCTTGGCTCCATCCACCATGAAGATTAAGATTATTGCACCACCTGAAAGGAAATATTCCGTATGGATCGGTGGATCCATTCTCGCCTCGCTATCCACCTTCCAGCAAATGTGGATCTCTAAGCAAGAGTATGACGAGTCTGGGCCATCCATCGTTCACAGGAAGTGCTTCTAAATGCATTTGATATTCCTTTTCCCATACTATCATTCCCCGAAGTCCCGATATGCGCGGGATCGTAGTGCGGTGAACGGCCCTTCGCGCCCCCGAGCTAATATCTCGAGGTTCACTACACTACCCAGCAGCGTGTGTGGTGGGTGGCCTCGCGCGATGCAATGGAAGTAAGTTATGACCTTTGCTCTTGCGTTATTAAAAGGAAGAAAAAAAAAACAAGATTTAGACGTTCGTTTCAATGACGATTCCGCTATTTTACAACCTACTCGTCATTATTTACCTATAAAAGCGAGAGAATCCTTACTATTTTGTTCTTATTTCAAGTTTTCTTATTTCCTTCCTCATTTCTTTATTTGTAACTCTATCCTTTTCTCTCTCTCTCTTTATATATATATATATATATATTTTTCATTCACGTTTGACGAGTAGTTGGTTTTTCTCATCTATATCGTATATTATCGTCGTTCATCGTCGTTGTCGTCGTCGTTGTCGTCATCGAAAGGAACGTCCCTTTTAATAATATGCGGTCACAGTATTATAATTTATTTCTATTGTCTTGTGCAAGACCACGCACGACACAAACGAAAAACACGTTACGAATTACATTACGTACTATACATATTCGCATACTTACACTCTCTATCACGTACACAAACACAGACACACAAAATACATACACATACACACAAATCACATACATCTTAAAGACTACTTTAGACTTATGGTATTATAAAATAAAACTCTTAAAAACACGATCAACTTGGACTATTGTGTGTGTCTTTTAAGATCAGTTATTATCCAGATCCTTTTTTTAATATAAACGCATCATCATCCCTATTAATGAAAGAATGAATAATAAACTGAAAAGAAAAAAAGAGAACCAACCAACCAAAAAAAAACCCTTCGTCGCCACACCTCGCTCGCACTACGACGATGCATTAAAAGAAAAAGATAAAAGAAAAAAAAAAAATACAAAAAAATACAAAAAAAAAAAAAGAATAAAAAAGTAATATAATAAAACTTTATATGCGTAAGAAATTTATCCACCAAGCTTCGGTTTTTCATTGAATAAAAATCTATAATTAATCTCATCATCGAAGAAAATCACGCGAAAATCTCCCTCCTTTTTATACATAATTATATTAATTAATTGTAGCTTTTGTACCGTTCAACGTCGTTAATTGTAACACGTAAGATTTGTGGTGAAATAGAAAATGAAAAAATAAAAAAAAAATAAAATGGAGATTTAAAAAAAAGGAAAAGTATAGAAAAGAAAAACACAAAAAAAAACCAAGATAATACTTAACATATATAATTAATTAATTACTCTAAGAATTTAAAATTAGGTTTATATTTTCAAGTCGAATAAAAATTATTTTCAATCAACTTTCATAACGTTGTCGTTGATATATATATCATCTTCTTCCGCGACAATAACGTAATAATTCGTCTTGTATAAAATAAAAATAATAGCGAGAAAGAGAAAAGAAAATGTTCAACAACAACAACAACGAATAATACTAATCTTGATATAAACTATAACTTTTATTTATTTATTATATTATAATATAAATTAATTAGCACGAGAGTCTTCTTCTACACAGTAGTAACAGCTGATTTTTGCGTGTACGTACAAACAATATTATTCTCTCTTTCTCTTTTTCAAAATGAATTTGTTGTTACGTATTGTTACAGTTAAACGTCGATTATCCGACAATAATTAATTCTCTGTTGTCATCACAATTAACAAATAATAATAACAACAACAACAACAATCTATGTATAACGTAACGAGAAAACATCTTAACATATTTAATGCATGATGATTAACAATAATAAACGTATGCATTTATATCAACGTTTCATTATTTTTCTATTTAAACTTTTTATAACGTCAATCCAATTATATATATTTATATTAATTTATAATCGAGATAATCGACTGTTTCTGTAATTTTAAAATACAATTTCAAGATAGAATTTTTTATGATTTATTTTTTATCAAACAATAATACTACGCGTGTTGTTTGTGTGTATATTTAAACATTTTCAATATCATTTGTTTATAAATTATTTATAAAAATGCGTAATATATATATATATATATACAATATTCTCCATTTTGTTTTTATGTTTATTTTTATTTTTAAATCGAACACTGACCTACATTAAAATTGTTCGATTAACGCGTGTTAATGCGTCGTGTGTATATATGCGTGGGTATTATAATACCCCTTTAAAGCCATTTAATCATCCTACACTTATTAAATGGTTGTTAAAAGACCATAAATTCCAATAGAATTTTCTAATCATTTTTTCAATTTATATTAAAAAGATTGGACGAGTATTTGCAAGGGCTCTTTTTTTTTAGGTATACATTTATAGAATTTTTGTAAGAAAATTAGGGATTGATCAAACCTAACCTTAGATTGTCTACTTTTCTAGTAACTTTTTGAAGCTTTGAACTTATTATGAATGGTCACTAGCTGCATTTGTTTGTTTTTTTTTCTTCAATGAATGCAACGAGAATCATTAATGATCAGCTGTTTTATCTATATTTTATCTTAAAATCGTGATATTATTTATATTTTTCTTTGATCTTTAACGTATAATTTATATCTAACAATAGTTTCAAAATTAACGATATATTTCCTTCCTATTTTTATTAAATGTGATTTATTACTTGAAAGGGTTTATTAACACATGCATGTGTTAGAGAACATAACCTAGTTCATGAGATTATTATCATAGAAATAGATCATGTCATTTATCTCGATTAATACGAGTTGCATTTGATTCGATATATCGTATTCGAAAAGTGGCGCTGAGTATCGATAATAGTTCGAATAAACTAGTTGCATTTCTAACCACACGTAGAGTGGTGGCAGCACCATACAAGTTGGTGATAAAAATTGATTGGGCAAGTATTTTGCACGAAAAAGAAATCGATATGAATCTAATAATGGAAGAAGATTAATAAAAACAATTTAATTTATTCGATAAATTCATATCGCTACGAGACGAAATGTTATTCGATATATTTCATGCTGTAAACATTGATTTATCAATCGTGTACTATTTTGAATGATTCAACGCGAATCGTCGTCGAGATTTTTGCTTTGTTTGTTTGTGAAAGGTTATAAAAGATTTCGATAAGAAGAAAATATATATATATATATATACGAAGATGATAAAAGTTTAAATATAACATAAAAATAAATTATATATCGATACGTGTGTAATAATATGTTTATCGATTAGTCATGCTAAAGTCATGATCGATTTTGAAAAAATCAAATCTCGTGCATTATCGTCTTCGGAAATTTACCGTAACGTCAATAACACGTATGTAGTTGCAATAAGAATTAAAATTGAATAACCCTTTCTTCGGAGATTGCACACCACGTCAGGAAAGTTCATTCAAGATGCCAGAACAAAATTCGAGTGATCAATATTCAACATTGGTAAGTCAATCATTATTGTTTTTAATTTCTAATTTGACAGTACCTTTAACATAACCTATATACATAACAATAGATTAAATGTTTACTTTGATTACTACACTTGCATTCATTTCAATATAATTATTTTCTTTTTCTTTAATCTAATTGAATGTTTTGTTATCTTTTTTTTTTTTTAGGTTGGTTTGATTTACATTTTTAATCTCATCGTTGGAACTGGAGCTTTAACTCTTCCAGCTGTTTTTAGTCGAGCAGGATGGGTTCTTGGTTTCAGTGTGATTTTAATATTAGCATTTATAAGGTAAATAAGAAAGATATTATTTTATTGAGATAATAATTCTAAGTGATGATTCTTATGCATTTTTTATTATTACAGTTTTATGACAGTGACATTTGTTATTGAAGTAATGGCATCAGCCAATGCAATTGTAACCTGGAGACAAATTCAACACCGTAAACGTGTAAGTTTTTCTTATCGTTCTAATTGTTTTGTCTTCTTATTAATAATATATTGAACTACATTACAACATTATTTTTAGGCAATGCAAACATTAGGCGACTCCTGTCCCTCAAATTCAGATTCTGAAGATACACCATTAGTTACCGTTCACACAGCCAGTCCAGATAAATCGGATACAACCTATCGGTATTACATAATTCATGATAAAATAGAAATGGGACAAATAGCATCAATTTTTTTCAATAAGTTTGGCACCACATTGTTTTATTTATGTCTTGCCATTTATTTATATGGCGATTTAAGTATTTATGGTGCAGCTGTAGCTAAATCGGTAGCAGACATTGCTTGTACTTATCAACCACAAAACTTAACCTGTAATGATACTATACCGGATAATGAAGTTTGTTGGGAAGGTTCTACTTTGGATAGATTGTCTGCGTATAGAATGTTTCTTGTAAGTTATCTTTTTATTGAATTATTAATATTATTATTATTTATTGTATTGTATTGTATTGTATTGAATTCACATGTTTTTGTTTTGTTTATAGACGACTTTTATTTTTATGCTGGGACCTTTTGTATTCTTCAACATACAGAAGACCAAGTATCTACAATTATTAACATCAGCGATGAGATGGCTTGCATTTACTATCATGATCGTGTATGCAGTTAGAAAACTTATTATTAATGGTCCACGAGGTAACCCACCGCTTGCAGATGTAACAGGTAACAAAGTTGAACGTGTCAATAATAATTAAAGGATAATTACAATAATCAATATAACGTAACTATTTCAGGAATTCCTAGTCTATTTGGTGCTTGCGTATATTCTTTTATGTGTCATCATTCTTTACCCGCATTGGTAGCTCCAATTGCAAACAAATCTACGCTTAATCGATCTCTCGCATTGGATTACGTATTGATAGCATTTTTTTATCTTTTACTTGCACTGACCGGTGCATTTGCTTTTGAACATCTCGACGATCTTTACACATTGGATTTTGGACCACGCGGATCTGGCGATTGTTCAAAAAGTTCTAACATCTTTATGCTAATCATTGAATATTTTTTAGCATTATTTCCCGTGTTCACATTGAGCACGAGTTTTCCAATCATCGCTATTACACTTAGAAATAATTTACAATCTTTATTTTTATACGACGATACTTCTTATAATTTTTGTCTGAGAAAATTAATATTTCCAATATTAGCGATATTACCGCCATATTTGATTGCTATGAGCACCAAAGATCTTTCTAAATTAGTTGGCATAACAGGATCTTATGCGGGTACTTGTATTCAATATTTAATTCCAACCTTTTTGGTTTATTATGCTAGAAAAAAAACAAATAAAATTATTGGTCTTGGTGTAATAAATAAATTTGCTAGTCCCTTTGCCAGCAATTTTTGGTTAATCTTTGTAACAGTTTGGGCAATTGCTTGCATGATTTTAGTATCGGTTAATTTCATACAAATTTATTTTCAAAAAGCGTTTATTAAATAGTAGCATGTAAATTGTCAATACAAATTGTGCATATTACAGATCCGAGTGATCAATATGTACAATAAATGATTGAATATCAAGTATACCGTTTGTGTACGTGAAATAATGAAAAAAAAAAAAGAGAAAAATTATTCCATTTTGGTATCGCAATATTTCATGGGCATAAGTTCCTAAATACACAGGAACCAGTCAAATTAATGATAGATAATAATTAGTAATTTAAGAAAGACGTGAAATTATATGACAGTGTTATCAGAGATGATGGATTAATATTATTGTACTTAAAACGAATGATATGAGGACTAATTGATAAAAGAAATCATCCTGCATTTCTTTAAACCATTTGAATTATCCAAGTATTTTTTAATTAGAAAAAAAAGAAAAAAAAACAAATGTCCAATCATTTCATTATTTATTATTTCATATATTGTTTCAATAAAGTGAAGTATTTTTATTAATTAAATAAACATTTGAAATCATTCCAATGTTGGTATTCAAATGGTTAATGCAAAGAAGTCTGATCAGCAGGTTTATGACACTGAGCAGCAGGTGGTTTGCAAATGTGTCGCATTAAATAATAAAAAAAAAAAAAAAAAAAACAAAGAAAACTTGACAATACTCTTGCACAAGTCAGGATCGACGTTGTACAAGCCAAATCTGATAAATGTAAATTGCAATTCTTTTTCTACTATATTAACAGTTAACTTTTCATTGCTGTATTCTAGCATATGTATAGATATATATATATATATGAAAAATATATATATATTAAAATGTTGATGTCTATTCTATGTAAAGAAGAAGAAGAAGAAGAAGAGATCTTTCACAAATAAGTGATATTTAAATGAAATGATAAGAATTGATTTTAAAATATGTGAGGGACAGTATTATTAACGTGGTCATAAAATTTGTTTTTTTTAAAAAATGTTTCGTTATGTTTTTTTCTTTTTTTTTTTTTGTCGTTTTTCCAATTCTAATGATAACTTTATTTGTAATTTTTATATTATATATGTCTCATTTAATATATTTGAACTTTTTTTTTTCTTTTTTTTGCAAATTTGTATTGTGAATGATGTTTTTTTTATTCACTGATTAAAATGTGTAACGGTGTTTTTTTAAAAGGCCAAAAGTGAGCAAGTAAATAGAATATCGTTAAAATGTATTATAATTTAAGTTATATGATAACATATTATTATTATTATTATTATTATTATTATTATTATTATATATATATATGTATGTATGTATGTATGTATGTATGCATAAGTCTTAAGATAAATAGTAGAGAAATATTTTTCTATATGTGTGTAAAACTGCCAAAAAAAAAAAAAGGAAAAAAGAAGAAAAAAAAGTACTGATAGTATGTTCGAGATACTCTGTACCTGTAAAAAAAAGAAAAAAAAAAAAAAACGAGTGTAGCGTACAATAAAACAAAAACAAGAAAGTGCATATGTAATATATTTGTCAAGAAAAAAACAAAAAATACAAACGAAACACGATGATTCATAACTGGTGCAAGTGCGAAAACAAAAAAATATAAATTGATTGTACAAGTTTATTTAGATTTATTTTTTGTCTATTTTTTTTTTCTTTTCTTTTTTTTTTTTTTATATGCATATATACACATTACTATTACTTAATTTATAATATTAATTTCATAGTTCTTATTATAATAATAATAATAATAATTAATAGACTCGAGTGTGTGACAGACTTTTTTAACACGGATAGAATTCTCTGATTTTTTTTTCTTTTTTTCTTTTTTTTTTCAAATTCCAACAACACAAGGTAGCACAGTAAAAGCACGTAACAATTCTTTTCAGAAATCTTATAAATTGGTATTGTTTTTTTCTTTTTTTTTTTTTTATAATCGTTTTCATAATGTTTAGAGAAATAATTACCAATGTGTAAGATTTCTGTAACGAATGATCACAAACATTCGTTTACATTTATCACGATTTTTTTTTTTTTTAAATGTCTTATGAAATAAACACACGATACTTTTTACAATCACACAAGACAACAACAGGACATTAAAAAAAAAAAGAAAAGAAAAAAAAATATATATATATATATATAAATATATTAATTCACAGTCAATGAGGCATTGAATAAATTTCTTATAAAATTCAAAAAACAAACGCAGACATTACATTAAAAGAACAACAACAAAAATTAATAAAACTTTCATTAAATGTTACAATTAATTTAAATAGTCACTCGTAATTAATGGCAAGTAGATTTAAAATTTTCTAAATATATATATATATATATATACGTATATCGTGAGGTTGATGATTTTTTGTTTAAAAGAATTTTAAAATAGAAATTGTATTTGTATATATATATATATAAGAGATATTTTTGTTCATAATTTTTGTTCATAATTTTTGTTACACGCGGCTTTAAAAAGACAACAACATCTTTGATTCCTCTCATTGATTTTGGTTCTGTACACTCGAAAGCATTTATTTATTTATTTATTTATTTAATTAATTAATTTGTTCGTGTCTTTCATTAAAAATTGATAATCGACCTTATTTAATTAAATATCTTCGTACATATTACCTAAAACAATTTCATTCTAATTAATTGTGAAGTTTTAAAGACTAGGATGATTATAAGTTGTATTTTTCTATCAATCATCCTTTTTCGATTATCAGTCTTTGATTGTACTAAAAGGTATATATATGTGTGTGTATGTATGTGTGTATATGTGCAGAATCTCTAAATATTTTCTTGTGATAATTTGTTTCTCTCTAAATCGCAATAATTGGATATATTATTATTATTATTATTATGCATTTAAAAATCATTGGTATATATATATACAATATATATCATGAAATGTCTACAATTGTATCATTCGCTGTGATATTATATTATTTGTATAAGTTACAAAATATTTTCTAATACATGGAATTGAATTAATCGATGAGATATGAGAACAAAGTTTCATACTTTGAAATAAATGAAAATATCATTCAAATTATTGATGACCCATTTATACAGTTAAAAACATTTGTCACAAGGTTTCTACAAAAAGTCTGTTCAAAATATTCAACACCGTTCTAATGTTTTTGGTAATTGCAATTTTTTGTTTTTTTTTTTGTTTTTCAATAGCCAAATTATATGTTCACATGAACAATTTTCGTATTCTAATGTCGTCTTTTAATTCATCGATGAAAATGAGTTCTATGTGTTAAGAAATATTCTGTATATAAGATTCGCAATGTGAACATTCTAAAAAGCTGTATATCATTGTCCCTATATCACTACTAAACTTGTTCATTTATTATTATTTTTTTTAAATTTCAATGGTTGGCCATTTTCTTTTTTTTTTTTTTTTTTTATCAAAAATCATCTATTCTTTTGTTTGTTTTTAATTTTTCTTCTTGTTTTCATAGGATATGTGTGTATTTTTCGATCAGATTAGACTAAATATTGATATTACATGTAATTTAATCGAATGCATGTTTAAACATGGACCATTATTTTATATCCGACATATTGAAAACATTCAGAGGCAGATTGAATTTTTGTACAAACTAGAAAATGCATTCGATTATCCATTGGCTTTGTTTTGTTTTTAACGTGGATAAATTTACTTTCATTACAAATCCGGTAAAGCATGTATAATTGTAGTATGTAATTGTTGGATAAAATTAGGTCGTTTAATCATAGTTATCCAAATAAGGACATGGTGCATCTTCATGACCAATACATTCGATTACCGGATCATGACTGCTATCCCACATTCCTGGACCACATTGACGACAAAGTCCAGCTAACGTGCAAGGCAAACGTAAGAGTTGACGAAAATTGTGAAGAAGACCACGTGCCTTTCTTAATATCAAATTTCCATCCATGTACATAGCTAATGAACTAAAATGCAACAGCATTTCGTCGGTTCTAAGATCTTGCGCTATTACATCCTCTGCATAAACGCACATTATGGCTAAGCAAAGGAATAAATGAAAATGATCCGTCAAATAATTGACCCAGCAAGCTTCCCACATGACTAGAGCAACTTCCGTTGGAAATTCACGTTTTAAACATCTGTAATTAGAATAGGAAAAACAGAAACATTGCAATTAGTTAGATAACATTTTGTAAAGTCATTATTGTTTTGTTTATTATACTTACAAGAGGATCCATCTGTGACAAAACAATAATTCTAAGGCATCAGTATGTTTCTGTAGATGCATATAGAAATCTGGTACCATAATTCTAATTAATTCTCTTAGATAACACAAATTTCTATCCATATCAATATCAGTAGGTGTACACACGGCTACAGATCTTTGCATCAGTCCAGCAAAACACCAAAAGGCATCAATTTCTGAGTTAAGTTCAGCTAACAATGGAGCCAACAAGTCAGACATTCCTTGTGTGTATCCCAAACGGGGATTGTAAACAGCGTAATTTAGTAAAATATTTCTAACAAATGAGATATTCATTAATTTAAAGTATCGTTATGTGATTATTAATAATAATTATAATTATCAGGGTAGATTCTTACTTCATAACCTCGATATTTGGATTATCCTCTCCAGCGTAATATGGATTTCCTCTATCCGTTCTAACAACATCCTTTTCCACAATACAAACAACATTTCGCCAGAAACGTTCAGCCTGTTCAGGATTCATGTTCAATCTACGTTTCTGAATATCATCGTATTCTTGTCTCCTAAGTGCATCAATTTGTTCTCTATCTTCGTAAGCACTTTGATAAGAATAACAATGTAAGAGGAAAGGCCAAACAATTTTTCTTAAGGCTGGTTCCAATCCTCCAAAAAATATTCCTTTACGAAGAGCCAAATCATCCTCTACTTGTCCCTTTTCATTTAACAAATCTTTCCATGCCAATGACGTGATCATTGGAACCTGTCCTTCTTCAGGATGCAATTCATCGCGGCTTACTTCAGGTCGGCAAACCATAAAATGCCTGTAATTATAAATGATATTGTTAATGTGTACATAAAATTGTTAATAATATATTGTAACATACTTGTAAGGAAGAGTTTCTTCCGTATCAGCATCCAATCTTGGATAAAGTAATTGATGCCATTGATGCAAAGTAGCAGCAAGCCGATCTAATCCACCATGATGAAAGTGTAAAATTTTGTATTGGCTTTCTCTACTTGCAACTACCAATTGTCCACAGGTACAAGCTGGATCTGCAAAGAACAACCTCAAGGACCGCATTTCGCTAAGATCAACGGAAAATCTTCGACATCGATGAGCTCTTCTCAACGTAACAGGAGATGCAGTAGCACTTTCAGGAAATGTTAGATTGTGTTGCAGTGCTAGAAGTTCAGGGGATCTCATCCATGAAGGTATTTCTTCTGTTGAGAATAAAACAAAGATATTAAAATGATTTAATAATAGGGTCTTCCATATTTAATTACATACCATCGGTATGGGCAGATATCGAAAGACTGCAAGTTGAAGTCAGGGACATACTACGACTCTTGATGCTTACATTATCATAACATAAATGTATTCGATCTTCTTCCATGTTCTCAGAAGTATCTTTACATTTTTCTGCATCATTCGTGGATTCAGAATGAAAACGATTGATCATATGATCCCTGTCCTTTCTAATGACTCCCATAGCAGCATCACAGATATTTCCTTTAGCTTCCCCATTGACTAAGTTTCTACATTGAATAATTTTTTTCTTATTTCGAAATTCCCCAATGTCATGAGAAAAATTGTCTTCCTCTGTAATACGTATCCCAGTAGAAAATCCTCCTGAACATACTCGTTCACAATCACCACATCTAATGGGTTCTTTAGCTTCCAAACAAACGTCAACTCTTTCTTCTAGAGTTTCTTTATCGCAAATACTCTCATAACGTTTCTCTCCCAATTCAGGAATCTTTACATGACAAGACTCACCAATCTCAGAGTCACGATGACTCACAATACTCTCCAATTTCCTTACGTTCAAACTCTCCAATGTAGTCGGATGTTTGCGTAAAGTAGAATTAGGTATCCAACTGAGATGCAAAGTTGGCACGTCAGAATTTTTATTAAACTTACAGGTTATGGTCATGTAACCAGGGTGATGCACCACGTCAGAATTTTGACGCGTCAAAGTTGGCGGATGTACACAAACATTGTTCTTACAAAACAATGCTTCACCATCCTGATAAATTGTACGACGTTCATCCTGGCTGCCGTCGCCTAGGATGTAACTGCTCGCTTTCCTCAGAATACTCGGAAGCGGCATCTTCGTCTTTTAACAAACCTCCCTCGTTTCGTATCATGGACTCCCTAAGTTACTTTTTTCGATTTTCTCACCCCCCACTCACCCCCACCTTTCCTTTAGCTTTTTACTTACAATTTATTTCTTTTTCTTCATTCACATTTAGAATCACATTTATATTTGTTCAAATGTTTACAATTATTGTGACACGCACAAATATTCTTTTGATAATCCATACGGTTGAGATGCATTTTTTTTTTCTTTTTGGTCTGCACCCTTATTTGACTTGCGACAAGTTGTTCAAAGTTGTTCAAAGTTGTTCACACTTGACAAGTTGTTTTTTTTTTTTTTTATCCAAGATGAACGGGTTGTTTTTTTTTTTTGTTAACTCGTGAATTCTGAAAAATATCAAAGAGATGTTATATATTAAATAAAGTTCTTGGTTTAGAGGTGTCGATGCAAGAAAACCAAATGAAAAGGGGAAGGTAGTGGTGAAATTTCTCGGTTCGCGCCATGCGCTCTGAGAACTTAGGAAGAACCGCGGGGTGTCCGTGATTTCTAAATGGGACACTTTCCGGTACGATAAAAAGCCTGACATACGTTGACCTCGATCCATTATGCAACGTTTTAACTTCCGCCAGTAGAATCAATTTTCTATGTTTAACATTTATTCGAAAATTTCAATCATTTAAATTGAAACAACGTTTGAAATTTAACACATTTTTTTCTTTGTTTGTTCAAAATCAATTCGATTTATCGACATTCAAAATGCGTCTTATTCTCGTACGGTGATTGGTTAACTTGATCTATTGCAATTAATTCATTTCTATGTTCACTTTAATCAAATTCATTTTAAAAATAACAAAAATTGATGTATCTTTGATTGAGTTTACATTTGATAGGGGTGTAAAAAATTGGAAAATAATTTCGGATCATAATTAAATTCATTGATAACATTGTTTTGTTATAGTTTTTTTTTTTTTTTTTAATTATTAATTATACGTGTTGTACAATTGCAATTGAGACACATTTCAAATGAGTTGCAGTATAAAATGCACCTTTTTTTTTACGACGTCGTATTTTTTTTTTTATTTATTAAATAAATAAATAATAATAATAATAATGTTTATTCAGTTACTATATTGATATTGAATCAATATAAATACAGTTACATGTAAAATAATCAAATATTATAAAAAAAAAAAAACATCTATGTGCAATTGATGCAACAACAATTGTTCGTTAAAAGACGAAACTAACGACAAATATTTATTGATAAAATATGTATGTAAAAAAAAGTTGAGCCAAAAAGAATCTTATATTTTATTTAAAAATAGATTTCCTCGACGTGAGTTCACACGTTCGATCGTAAACGACGAATTATTCATGTCCAGGTCAAAGGTTTTGACCAAATAATTTCAATAGTAAAAAAAGAATATCTTAAAATAACAAAATCACATGTGTTAGAGTCTGTAAGGACATTATTTATGTACAATAAAAATGTACAAAAAAATACTGACGTAATTATGAAAACATGTCGTGTACACTATTGGTCAAAAGTTAAGGAATTACTGTATAAAAATATTTCAACGTATTCTTGCGTACAATTTAATGCATATTTTTCAATACAATTGTATTTTAAAATTAAAACATTAGTGCCAATGTTAACAAGAAAAATATTCAATTATAAAAAAAATACAAACAAAAATTAATTTTAATAGTTATTATTCAAGATAAATACAGTACAAAGTATAGTATTGTAAAGTTTTGTTGACAAATCAATTTGGTAAGGCAATTTATATAAAAAAATTCCAATCTTTTGACCAATCAGTGTATTATACAAAAGAGTAGAATCAATGTTTGTTTAATAATTATACGAATAAGATGAGAGAGAGAGAGAGAGAGAGAGAGAAAGAGAGAGGAAGATGATCATTGTATGTACAATCATATCAAAAAATTACAAACATAACAAGACATCATACGTACATCAAACGTCACTTTGTTGTTAATGAATTTTAGTCAGCTTCGTAAGATGATATCTTCTATCAAAATTTGATATAAAATGATAAATAAAAAACTAATCATTGACTTGTTAAATACAGAAAAAACGATCGTTGTTTCAACGTAACGTAAAACGTGTTTAGCCACATGCTAAGATTCGCGCTGCTGCTTCTTCCTTCTCTCTCTTTTGTACTATTTCTCTCTGTCTCTCTTACTGAGGATCAATATTTCCATTTGATCGCGAAACCTGCGTGCTTTTTGCCCTACTACCCGAGCTACCGACATACCATCGTTAACGTTGCATCTCTCCGCTTGCTCTTTTTATTGATCTTTGAGCTTTGCTGCCCACTTTTCTTTTTTTTTTTTGCCATTCCTCCACTCTCTTAAATTGTTAGTCTCCTCCTCTCTGTTTAGTTTCAATTTCCCTAGAGAGTTCTACTATATTTCTGTCTCTCTCAACATTTGTATATATGAATATTTTCTCTTAAACTTTATCTTAGTTTCATTTCACTAACCAATTAATTTTGTTATTTTCCCGAATAACATCGAATGCATGATTCAACAGTTATATTATTACTGAACAATGCAATTATTGTATATTAGTTAGAAATAAATAAATAATATTCATTGCATTCGTTGTTATTGGTTGATCTGTTTAACAGTTTTGTTGTATAATAATACTTTTTATACAGTTTACAGTATTCATATGTATATACTAATGAGCTTCGTAATTAAATATTATTTTATAGTCTTTGTTAGAAACTAATCCAGATTTAGGTCCACGTTTCAAATAGGATATCGTTGAGTACGCTGAGAAATGAAAGTCTTCTTGCAGGTAGCCATTTATTAGTAAATGTCCTATTATAGCTTCACCAGTTTCTCTTGTAAATGATGGTGTAGGCACTTTGGCAACTCTTAATAAAGATGCTCCTTTACCAAACCAGGCATCTATTAACTTTAATGCTGTTAATCTTGTTTCATTTTGAATAGCTTTAGTAATTATTTCATACAAATGTCTACAATAAGGTGCTACGTTTAATTCCTTCTTTTCTTTAGGTTTACGACAATGATCACACATTTCAGCACAATCCTTGGTTTCCCAAGTTTCTTCAAAATGTTTAGCTATCAGACTACGTCTACATGAATTTTGATCCAAACAATATTCTAACATTTTGTATAAATTTTGTAAACCAACTTTGTCTTGAAACACCATGGTACTCAATCTAAAAATGTCCGGTAAACGATACAAGACGATACATGCTGACTTTTTACCATCTCTACCAGCTCTACCACTTTCTTGGTAGAAATTTTCCATAGATTTGGAAATACAATGGTGTATGACAAATCTAACATCAGGTTTATCAATACCCAATCCAAATGCTATCGTAGCTATCACTGCTTGGTATTTACCAGATATCCATTTGGCGTATACTTCAGATCTATAATCTGCTTCTAACATTGCATGATAACATCCTACTTTTAATTGCAAACCACGTAAATCTGTGGTTAATTGTTCAGCATCTTTAATGGTAGTTGTATAAATTATACCAGATTTATCCTTAAATCTATTTTTTAATAAATTTTCTATCATTGAGAGACAGGTGTCCTTATCTGCTGGTTTACGACGTACTTCATAAAATAAATTTGGTCTGTTAAATGGTGCTCTCAAAACTAAACATCCTTGAATGTCCAACATCTTTTGTACATCCAAAATAATCTTGGCAGGAGCTGTTGCAGTAAGACCAAGAATTGGTATACCTGGAAACATTGATTTTAAAATTCCTAGAAATTTATAATCCGGTCTAAAATCGTGTCCCCATTGACTGCAACAATGCACTTCGTCTATCGCAAAACGATCTAATCTTTTCAACTCGTATGCCTTTTGTAATTTGCTCATAAAACGATTAGACTTGGCCATGTATTCCGGGGTAACATAAATTAATTTCAGATCCGATTTTTTATCTATCAATGAATTCATTATGGTCTTAACATTTTCTTTATTTGCTTTAGCGTGCAACATTAAAGCTTTTACGTTAAGTTTGTGCAATCCATGTAATTGATCCTCCATTAAAGATAACAAAGGAGAAACTACTATTGTAATGCCTTTGCTAATTACAGCTGGCAATTGATAACACAAACTTTTGCCACCGCCTGTTGGCATAATTAAAATAACATCCTCGTTAGATAAAACTGCATTAATCGTTGGCAATTGTAATGGTCTCATATTTTCTATTTTAAAAATATCTTTTAATGCTTTTCTCAAGTTTTTCGACCAATCGAAGTCTTCACCTTCCCAGTTTTTCTTTGATACGGACAAACTCTTTTTCAAAAGTGCATCATCTCGTAATTTTTCTTTACGTTGAATTAATACTTTTTTACGGTCTTCCAATTTTTGCAATTCCGTTTCTATTTGTCGCAATTCATAATCAATTGCAGCTATCTCATCTTCTTCTGTAACTGTAAAATCAAACGAATGATTATAATAATACAGTTAAACAATATACATGGTGGGTTGAAAAGTTTTGAGCTTCAACAACAACAACAAAACAAAAATACTTTTCAACTTTATCAAGTGTATATACAGGGTGTCTTATTGTTACTTATGTAGTGTATATATGTTTGTAAAATTTGTGTAGAAAATAGTGTGACACCATGTATATATATATATTTTGTAAATTATTAATAGTATTTACAGTAATATAACAATGAAAAAAAAAAAAATGTACCTTTATTATTATCATCGTCATTTATAATTATAACATCTTTTGAACTACATTCAGACATTATAAATAATTTGAATTTATCAGCTATAGTTTATTAGCTGTCTCTGTATTTTTGTTTGATTTGGTAGGAAGCGTTGAAACCTAACCTATATGACGAATAATGCCGGTATTGTGTGCATGTTTTCTCCCCAGTTTCAATCAGCTGACATTTTAGTAACTACACGTATTCTTATCAGGCAAGTACATAACCTCACTGTTAGATCAAGCTCTTTGCTTTTTAATTAATATCATTTAAAAGCTTTTGTGAGTTTGTTTATAAACGATTGAAAAATTGATATATTTAATCGAAAAAGATTAAAAATAATTCATAACAAATAGAAAAGTAAAAAAAAAATGTCATTTAATGCTGCATTTCGTTCGTGTCCCACTTGGTTAGAAAATCGACTCGTTTCTGTATACTTCAAGGGTATTGCATTTTTTTTTTCATATTTTTGCATTATAACATTTTGTTCACACACACACACACACACACAATAATATTTTTTTAAATCAAATTGCACGATTAAATGATTAATTATAATCGCATGTCATTTGGGTATCATCTCATTTTCTATACTTGTGTTGTTAGTTTCTTAGAAAGATATATTTTTTCTAACCTCTAATAATCTTGTAGCTTGTAGATAATTATAGGGGGGTGTTTTTTTTTTTATTTCATAGTTTCTTTTTATATATCATCGTATGATAACAATTAATTCTCTTTATTTAAATTCATATCAATATACATAGATAACTATTTGAGTCAAGTAGTAACACTACATGTACTGCATAATCAAATCATGATTGTTGGCAAATATTTAACCCGTGCTTTATTATCTTATCTTAGTAAATAAATATTATATATATTTTTTCTTTAGAAATTATAATACGTTTATGTTAATATATAATTAAACAAATATTTGTTTAACCCTTTCGTTTCGTGTGCCGGATATATCAGGCATCTACGAGTGTTTCCCTACGATGATGAAACTTAGATGGATTAAACTGCTGAAACGAAAGGGTTAATTAATAAAATATTTAAAAAAAAGAATAATAGAGATTTTTTTTTTTATATTATTAGCACGAAGCATTGCTGCAAATGGTTTTCGTGGTACGCATAGTAATTCAGTACTAATAGAACAACCCAAAATGAAGGTCCAAATCTTATCAGCGCTTCAGGATAATTACATGTATCTTGTATGTAAATATTCATTTGTTTTTATTATCCCTAGTACTATATGATTTGTGTGAATTTGTATATGAGTAAAATTCTTACGTGAAATTCACTGATAATACATGTCCCAAGTCTCAGATAAAGGGGAGGGTGGTCCAAGTTTTATTTCATAGGGAATATGTCTCATACACACATAATTATAGTGCAAGGGAACAATCATTGTTTACAAATGAATCTATCTAATTAGAAATTGATTGATTTTGTAAGATAATCGATGAGAAATCAAAAGAAGCTGCCATAGTAGATCCAGTTGATCCAGAAGCAGTTGCAGATGCAGTTAAAGGAAATGATGTAAATCTTACGAAGATTTTAACGACACATCATCATTGGGATCATGCTGGAGGTAACGATAAGATGGTGAAGAATTTTGATAATTTGCAAGTTTATGGTGGAGATGATAGAGTTGGTGCACTTACTTGCAAAGTACAACACAATGATACATTTAACATTGGAAGTTTGAATGTACGATGTCTTGCAACACCATGTCACACTACTGGACATATTTGTTATTACGTTACTGAAGAAGGTGATACACCTGCAGTGTTTACAGGTAACATAATTTAATTAGAATATATGTATTATTATTTAAATGTTCTAAATAGTTCAATTAATTAGGTGACACATTATTTGCTGGTGGTTGTGGAAGATTCTTTGAAGGTACTGCTGATCAAATGTATAAAGCGCTCATTGAAATTTTGGGTAAACTACCAGATGAAACGGTGAAGAGATGATTCTTATTATCTTATCTAGAAAATTATTGAATTCAATATATATTATATATTTATTTTACAGAAGGTATATTGTGGACATGAATATACCATTGCTAATTTGAAATATGGTATTCATGTTGAACCAGAAAACGAAGCAATTCGTGAGAAGATGCAATGGGCTAAAACACAACGTGACAAGAAAATTCCAACTATACCGAGTACAATAGAAAATGAAAAACTTACAAATCCATTTATGAGGGTTCATGAACCGTCTGTTATGAAACATGCGAATGAAAGTGATCCCATAAAGACTATGGCATTTCTACGTAAAAAGAAAGACACTTTTAACGCATGATTTATTTTATTTTATTTTTTTTTTATTGTTGTTGTTGAAAAATATTCTTTTATTACTACGTTGTTTAATACTCTAATATAAATAATAAATATATATATATATATATATGGGGGTTATTTATTAAGAAAAAGAAGAAGCAAATAACGACAAGGGTGTGATTTGCGTTTTTATATAGATTATCTATTATATTATATAATAATTACATGTGTGGTGGTCGTAAATACAAACGTACAATTAATGATCATAATAATAATAATAATAATAATATATACAGTAAATATTAAAATAATCATTAAGTTTTATTTAAAGACATTTGATGATTAGGTGGATCTTCTGTTTTTTTATTATAAATTTGCATTTCTGCGACATATTTTTCTTTGGAACGTTCGTACATGTCATAATAGACCTAAACAAAAAAATATGAATTAAATAATGTATACAAAAATGGGAAGATTATGAAATGGTTTTGGATAAGAAGATACCTTTTTATCTTCAGAACTAAGGGATTTCCATGTAGTCGCTAATTGTCTTGTCAATTCTTGTTTACTTGGTTCAGGATCACCAGCCAACCTTTCCATTACACGTGGTCTTTGTTCTTGGCAAAATTGAAAGAAAGGGTTCGCTGGTCTTTTGGGTGCATTGGGATCTGCCTTAGTACCTTTCCTTTTTGTTACTTTTTTTGGTTTGTCTTCTTTAGAATTATTTGGTGCAGCTTTAGTACCTTTCTCTTGTTTGAAAGTTGATTGAAATACACTGTTCTCTTCTAAAACACCCATTGGTGCTTCCCTCCAACGATCTCCATGTTGATCCAATCGATCGATTAAAAATCTGTTTATTTGTAAAATGTTTATGTATATATGTAGATATATATATATGTTGTTTTTTATTATTAATTAGATTTATAATTGTTTTTAGGTTAGAACATAACCTATTACACACTAACTTTTTTTCCTTTCTCGTTCGTTTCAGTAATTTTCTTACTTTTTGAATACGAAAAACTAATCTTTCGTTTTCCTATAATGAATTAAATGTTATAATAAATTAATAAAATGTTTTATGGAAATATATTTAGAAAAAAAAAAACAAACAAAATGTGACACTTTGAAAAAAAAAAGAAAAAGATTAAAAACAAAATCACACATGCACACGTGGAAAAAGAAAAAATATCAATATAATATATTTAATTTATTTAATTATAATATAATTCTGATGCTCTTTGAAAAAAAAAAAAAAAACAAATATAAATTAACCTGTTGTAAAATTTCACATCTGTCCAACAACATTTGATATTTTCTTTTGTAAACGTCAAATACTTCAGGTTCTATGTCGTATTCAGATTCGTCTGACATTATAAATGTAATTTTGCAACGTGATATAAATTATGTTTGTTTTTTTTCCTTCTTTGTATAATTTAACTACTCGATCGGTAATCTTTTAACGCTTTAAATTTGTACGAGTTTATTTGTCATAGGAGAGATGGCACCATCGAAGTACAGTTATCTTTGGTCGATAAATTTCTACCTTACCGACGACAATACGAGTTTATTTTTAATACAAGAGATGGCGCCATCGAAGTACGTGTTATCTTAAGTCGATAAATTTCTACCTTACCGACGACAATACGAGTTTATTTTTAATACGAGAGATGGCACCATCGAAGTACAGTTATCTCAAGTCGATAGATTTTTACCTTACCGACACGATTGAATAAAGTTAATAATAATGAGGAATTATTTTAATTTAATATAGTAATATATTATTTTATATTATGTATGTATGTGTGTTTGATAAATAACGTAAAGAATTATCTTTGAAGTATCATTAATAATATAAATGAAAAATGAAAATACAGTAAATTATTACAGATCCATACAATTTTATCTGTAATAAAGTATTAAATAATAAAATATAAATTTATAACTTATATGATATGTCGAATGAAATAATAAAAGTGATTGAAATTTACAATTATTCGTTATCTTTTCGAATATAATAAAATTTTTAACTAGATCGATAACATTTATGCAGTATTTATCAAACACAACCAACGAGCTCTAATTAAATTCTATGTAACTTAAAATAATTAACGTTCTATACATAAAAAAAGGTAATTGTTAATTAACAAAAGAAAACATTATACTCGAACGATAAATTATTACTCTTATTTCAAATAGAATACAAAAAATGGCGGCATAGTGTTGGTTTATACATTTAAAAAAAATTCAATGCGTGTAAATCGGTTATATTAACTCCATACTTCAAAAATTATCAAAAAATAAACGCATAGGGTAATAATTGAGGTTCAAATTAAAAACAAAAATAAAAAAAAAACCAAAGGAAAACGAAAGATAGGAACAAAGGGGATGTGTGTGTGTGGGGAGGGGGTAGTTTTAGGTTAGTGAACGTTAATCATATATATATATATAATAATTCTTTACATTATACTTTGCTAGTCGAACTCTAATCTCGTACCGGTCAAAAGAAGGGTTGGTTGGGTTGTTTCATTGCGCATGCGCATTAGTCAAAGGGAAACTCACCTCAGTTCACCCTCGTTTGATAGTAGAGGGGAGAATAGAAGCAAACGAGAGGATAGAGAAAAGAGAGAGATGGCAAATGAAACGGGGGTTGGTGGGGTTGAGGGTTGAGCGAGAAAGAGGAAAAGATAGGAAGGGTGGGGGTAGAATAATGGAAAGAGATAGAAGATGAGAGGAGACTAGAGAAGGGGGTTAGAAATAGAGTGAAAGAGAGAGAGAGAGAGTGAGAGAGAGAGGGTGGTAGTTGGAAGGGGGTGGGGTGGGGGGTGGTAGACGAGGAAGCAACGGTGAAGAAAACGCATATCAGCGTCGCGTTCGGTGTGGCCTCGACGGCTTTTCGTCTCGTCTATAGTTTTCTCTCTCTTCCCTTCGTTTCTCGACATTATTAAACGTTATTTTCCTCCTCCCCACCCCTGTCACTTTAATCTCTCTCTCTCTCTCTTTCTCTTTCTCTTTTAATATAACATCCTACTTCATCTAAATAATCTTCATTCGTTTCTCTCAAGAGTAGCGTCTTCGTATTTCCGCTCGTTCATCCTCGTCTATTTCCGTCCGTTCGTTCGTTCGTTCGTTCGGTCTTATCGAAGACACCAAGTTAAAAAGAGAGAGATAGATAGATAGATAGATAGATAGATAGATAGATAGATAGATAGATAGATAGATAGACAAAATAGATAGAAAGATAGAAAGAGAGAAATCTTAAGATACTACGTTAGTCATAAACGCATTTGTTCTCTTTGTTTATTAGCTGTGTTTTTTAACCACCCCCCCACTCTCCAGCCCGCCCCCACTCTAAACCAAGTTGATTATTTAATCCGTTCTTTCACCTTTTTTTTTTACGGGGTGTGTTGTTCGAAGTATATTCAATCGGTCGTGTATCTGTGTATTTGAATCTGTGTGTGTGTGTGTGTGTTTGTATCAACCTATAATCTTTTTTGTTTTTTGTTTTTCTCTCATAAAATTTTCCGTGTCAATTTTCATACTAATTTTTCGTTTGTTTGGTAAATCAAACATTTTAAGAAGATGCAGCAGCGCGTAGCAGTTTTTTAGCATTCGCTTTTGGATCGTCCAAGACGACCTTGGGTGAGTAAAAAAAAACCAAATTTGATTTTATGTTTGGGTATAAGATTGTTTTTTTGTATTTGTTTTATTTGGTAGGCTCTTCTTTTCTATCTGTCTGCTGTGTGTATGTAGTTGAGCAGGTGTATGTGTGTGTGTTCGTGTACGTGCGTGCACGTGTATTTATATCATTTATGTATATATATATGTATGTATTCCTCACAGAAATGTAAAAGTTAAAAATACTTGTGTTGGATTGAGATTGTTCCTAGTGACTAGGGGTATTGAAAATATCACTAGTATCTAGTAAAAATCATTGTTTCAATCTTTTGTACGAAGAAGAATGTTAGGACTATTTTTGGCATTGACTATTGTTGATTATTTTTGCAAACATCGTAAAAAGGATACGTTTTTTTTTTTTTTAATACTTTTTATCATAAACATTGATGAAAATCATGCATCGTTAATTTTTATTAAATCTATTAAAAAGGATTTATTAAACATTGTATTTGTTTGTATATATGTGTGTAAATGTGCAATACACATGTATTGCAAGGTTACAAGTTCTAACGGGTTACTTAAATATTAAAATGTAGGTCACAAAATGATTTTGATATTTTAATTAAAGAACATTTGTAATTTGCAATTTTTACGGGGGTTGAGGGGAGGGGGTGGGTGTATTTTTAATGTAAATACAGAAAAACACATGTGTGTGAAAACAAATGAAAAAATAGTTTGATTAAAATAGATATTATTTGCTTGTAATGGTGGTGGTGATCATTTATTTGAATTATGCATGAGAATACTATGATAAAAATATATTTGAAAATAATGTCTCAATGTTAATGACATTTACGGTTGACCAATATTGTGGTAGGAAGATATTTTATGATTAGTACGCCATTAACATTTTTTTTTATGATAGAAATTTGTGAAAACAAAACTAAAAAATGTAATTTATTTGAATACAAAATCCGCAACTATCTTTGTTAATTAATATTTATTTATAATTTACAATAATTAATTTATATTTTCTATTTTTGACAATACAATGAAAACATCTTGGTGCATGAAAAGCTTGTAACATAAACCAAAAATTATATGAAAGAAAATGTTTCAATGCATTTATTTAAATAATAAATAAATAATTTGAAGTAGCCGAATATATTGAAAATAGCAAAAACCCACTAATATTTCAATTAATAATAATAATAATAATTTATTTAAATAATTGAATATAAAAATACTCGAATATTCAATTGAAATATTTAAATTAATGTTTAGAATTTTGAATAAACAATTTCAAATATCGAAATATATTAAAAATAATAATAAGAACCCACTTGTTCATCATAATCTCAAATACTTTTTCATTATTCTTAACAATAATAATCCATTAAATAAATTTTCTTTCATTATTATGTTCAATCTTTTATTATTTAACGAGTTTTATCAAGTATTTATTAAATATTAAATAAATAATGGATCGTGTATAAATAAGCACGCATCGTAGCAAAGTTTTTTTGTTCGACAAAAGGGTGAAATCAACGAGAGAGAGAGAGAGAGAGTGAGAGAGAGACAGGGGGATGAAATGGAATGGGATGGGGTTGGGGATGAGGATGGGGATGGGGATGGGGTGGGATAAAAGAAATTGGTAGAAGAAAGGGAAGAAACTATATGCTAGGGATCGTGTTGGAAAGGAAAAGCTTTTCTTCTTGGACGAAGTAAGGGAAGCCCTCTCCTCCTCGTGGATCAATAGCAGCGGCCGTTGCGGTCGACACGATCAGCTGATTGGCCTATTGCTAATTCTGTTTACAAGTACTCTTACCATCCGGTGCGTTCAGATGTATATATATATATATATTTAAAAGTACATAGTAGATACATCATAGGAATGGAACGCGGAACAAAGTAGAAACAGTAGAAACAAATGATGTTCAGCCAATCACGATTGAAAGGTTCAAATTTGTCGTTCCTTCTATCATCCAATTTGAAAATAGAATGTGTATCGGTTGATTTGGTTGGTTCATTTACACGTTCTGTTCCTATGTTCAGTTTTGTATTATATTTTAGTATTAATGAATTGATTTGTGAGGATCAAATGGAATCGAACCAATTGGAGGATTCGCGATCCGTTTCTTGTTCCTTTGATCTTCGAATTTGAAATATTGATGCACTTCTCTGCATCATTTGTTTGTTTGTTGCTATGTTCAGTTTGTAAAATACTTTAAAATGAATGAATTGAATCATGAGGATCAAATGGAATTGAAATCTTGGACCAATCAGAGACTCGTGGTCTTTGCTTTTTTTTTGTTTTTTTAATAATAATAGCAGAGCATATATTATGAGATAAAATGAATGAGGAAACAAAAAAGAAAATGAAAGAAAAAGAAAAGGATAATCGCTTGATCAATAAAATTCATTATGGTTATTGTTATGAAGTTAATTTCTGATCAGAGTTCATTAATTTGCTTTACGAATTTACTATGCAAATTGTACATCGTACGTGTATCAGATGTGTATATGTATATGTGTGTGATTTTCACGTACATATGAGTATAATAACGTAACGAAATGTGAATCGATATCGATAAGTATTGTATCGATATAAGTCACGCGAATGAGTCACGTGAATGCATCAATGTTGAAATAAAACAGTTCATTGTTCAAATCGTATCAGTTTGTCAGTCAATCTCTCTATCGTTGTGTTACGCGTATAAAAGAATAATTTATTTATTTTTTTTGTTTTGTTTATCAAATGCTTCTCCGATAATGACATTTTATTTATAAATGAACAAATATACATAATTTATTTTC